CTAACAGTGCAAATAGTCGACGAAGAGTGACCAATAGTGCGAATAGCCGCCGATATAATGGTAATTTTAAAAGCGATCAACTTCTTTCTTTTTATATATTTATTTTAATGACTATTCGCACTATTCGTCGACTATTTGCACTATTCGTCGACTATTCTCCTTTTAGTGTACTCGATCAGGATATCTATGGTACATGAAAAGGAATAAAACAGACTGCCACAGTAAAATTCAGTGAAGGTCGAATATACCGCATTATTCGGTATATTCGACTAGGTAAGGTGGAATGTTCCCGAATGCGGGTATCGTCCATCTTGGTAAGGTCGAATAAGGCTTAAATATTGACTCCTAGCTCCAGAGGTGGTGCGGTATTTGAAAATATCGCATCAGCCAGCTAAAATGCGGGATCCGCATCCGGTTGATAGACCCAATTCAATTTATTGCATCTGAAAACATAAAATTCGCGTTGCGTTGGCGAATCGCGTCCGATGCGTGGGACCTCAAAGGCTGATATTGCTTTTTAATAATTTCTCGGTGTACGCCGAGAAGAAAATGGCACTTGAATCGAAGCTACTTTTGTAATGATATCAGTGACAATGGCGTTAACATTTATAACATTGTTGATATTTTGAAATAACTCTTTTGTTTGCTGTTTTGCAATCACCAAAAACGGTTCAAAACTTAGTTCACAACATAATCTAAAGAATAAAGTTAAAATAAATTAATTTTGAGTGGTACGCCGAAAAGATTTTTTGTCGTGAACGTTTTTACTGCCCGCCAAAATACGCGACAATAAAAACTCTCCTCTAAACCCTATTTCTTATTTTTATCCGCATGACATAATGGATAATTATGTGAATTCAATTTCGCATTTCCATTCCCGCGGGCGTAATTAAAATCTCTGGGCGGAATGGGTACTCTTGCCCACCGGCTCGGGGACAAGCATAAGATAATTTTAATTGATTAACTTATATGATCTTATTTTGTATTATTGCAGAAATATCAAGGACAGTCGTGAAGCCTGATCCTTCATCTCCACTTAATCCACAAGTTTCAAGATCAGCTCAAGCTCCAACATCGGGGAATGTTACTACACCCATATTAAATACAACAGTTTCGACTGGCGGTGGTTCTACAACATTTCCCACAAAGCTAAGTACTCAACAAATCGCCACCACAACTCTTTTTACCCGTCGAACCACGACAGGTACGTTAGAATTATTATATTTGACGAGTCACAGTTACATATAGATACGATTATACATGGTTTGGAGACTAAATAAAATACAATACAACTTATTAACCATTTTATTGTTGAACATGTGAGTTGTACTAAGTTGTACATGTGCAATGCATGTAGCTAAAATTACACGATACCATTATTTTAAAATTTTCTAATTATGAGCATAAAATAGTTGCGATTATTTAGCCCATTACTTGATCTATATTCAAGTTATTCTTCATTTTAACATAAGTTGCACTGAACAGAGAGCTCTGCATAGGACAAATATATTCGCGGTACTTCTACAAATTGATGATTTAAGTTCAAAACACTTTTCTCACAAGGTTTGGATACATTTCTCCGTTCACAATTTCTGTATTTTTTAGGTCCTCAAGGAACAGATATACCAATCGATTCTCCTTGTCGGCCATTTTACAGCAAAACTAATCTGCCGCAAGACAGCATAGACATGGCACATTTTCAAATGCATCCTTTCTATCCCTTAGTGTACACCTACTGCTCTGTGAATCTTTTACTATTAATTTGTTCCGTTCATCTTCCTGTGTTCGACATCGTTTCCAGCAAGATTTTACCACCGTGTTCGGATTTGTGTGATCAGGTCTCGATGGATTGCAGTTATGCAATTAGGAAATTGAAATTCCCAATTTCGACTTTATTACAACAATGTTCGTCCAAGTCCACTCCAGGAAATACCACAAATACAAAATGCTTCCGTAAGTATTCGAGTTTTTTTTCGACTCCCAAAATTGCCTCATGCATTGGCACGTTAGTGCGGATAATTAGAACAACAATCGTTTTTCATGTCCACTTGACTTTATCAATTCAAATGAATGCATGTAAGGGTAAATTGGATGGTCGACGAAATGCAGAGATGACGATGGTTTATAAATTAACGTGAAATAATATTAATATTTCATTTTCCAGTGCCAAAAGCTACGCCTGAAAGAAAAGGACCTAGTGAGTATTTCAACATCTGTCATGTCTATGGTTACCAATCTGCTACAGGAATAAGAGTATTTCATGCAGTGTACCCTAATAAACAACTGGAACGATACCCCCATAAAGTATTTTTGTGAAGCCAAAACTTGCGCGACCTCAGGATACGCGCGTAAGGAATATTAGAACCAAGAATTAATATAAATATTTCTGCCCCATTAACCAAAATTAAAAGTAATAAAAGTAATGATAAGTATTTGGCAAGAGAAGTTTTTAGGTCATATTCACAAGTGCGATGCAACCTACGTTTCTGGACTCAAATTAGTTTAACCTTCTCTCCGCATTTTTAATTCATTTCATAGATGTATCATGCTGCTTTGATGTGAAACCGCAGCCATTTTGTAACACCTCAACATTTGTACAATCATCGCTCAATCGTTCTCAACAAGATGAAGTAATTTTCAACTTGAGCACGATGTATCTTCCAATATTTCATGCCCTGGAATCGTTGAACCAACCAGTATGTGCAGCAAGGTTATCAGATTATCTTTGCCTAAAGAAATTCCAGTATTGTGTGCCAGGAAGTAAAAATGGAGGATGTTCCGGAGAAATTTACAAACCATTCCGTGAAAATTGTTTGTTCTTCGCAGACAATTCGTCACCTTGTTCTATACATCATATCAACACTATTCTTCAAAAAGCTGGCTATAATATTCAAATAATGACGACAGATTTTGACTGCTCGACATTACAGTCCATTACGTCTGAAGCAGAAGAGCTTTCGCAAAATATTCTACGATTTACAAATGGTAATGGTATAGTAGATATAAAAAGAGTGAAGTCCAGACTTGACTTGCACTACTATACTGTTGTTACCTCTCGTTATCATATTGTACCCCATGTTTCGTTTATCTAATAGATTTATGTTTCTTAGTTGATTGGAAGCCGGTATACTCGTGGTGGAAGTAAAATCTTAATTAGTATAATTATAAAATAATGCTAATTTCGAGCAACGAGGGGTCGGTGGTTAGGCAGAACGAGACCACCAGGAAACGCTAATAAAACAATGTTACTCTGCTAGTTATGTCCCTCGCCTTCACACAGACAGTAGATTACAAGCTAGACGATACTTCGAACAGGGAAACGACGGACGATTGAAAATATTGGGGAAAAGTATCCGAAATTTTTTATCAATTGCTTCTTGAAATCGGCATTTTGTCAGTTTTATCGAGAAATATTAATTGAGCTCAAATTTCTTAAAAATATAGTGCTAGTTAATTCGTATAACTGGAACTAAGAGTTGCAGGGAGCTGCACTTTGTGGAATCATGCGTCTCCAGTTCCGTTTCCAGCTCGAACAAATGTAAAATTGATTTCCATATCCATATTATTTAAGGTGGCTCTCAGTTGAGAGACGAGTTTTGACGTTATTATTGAAAGTGTCTATTCTAAAACTAGGTTACCTGCAAGGTAGAGATTGCTGCGAGCATTTTAGGGTCCAAGTGAATTGTTATATGAAATGTTAGTAAACTAAATCCGTTTTAACTAATAGCAATAGCAGGTTTAAAAAACGCAAAGTGAACCTCTATTGAGCATTAACTCGCTGGGGCTGTACATGAATTAACACCTATTAGCGAGAACACTGTCAATGACGTCAATATTTAGGTCAATATATGCTATATCAATGCTGTCTTGCGAGTTGCAGCTCGTTTAATCAAAGTCTTTAGAAGCAGCTAGTTTTAAAAATATTTTAACATACGAATCACAACAGGAGTATTAACACTAATAGTAATATTAGGTAGAATTTTGCGCGCGTAGCGACATTTTCCCCGCGAAAATACAGGCCCAGTAGCACATGTTTAACAAAATAGAACATTTTTTGGTAACATGGATATTTGTTTTTTAAATATGCTATTTGTCTTTGTTGTGTCCATGTAAATGTTTGACTTCATGTGAAGAGTAACAAAACATCACTTAATACTTTGAACTTTGAACGCGCTCGAGAAGATGTGTAATCAGAAACCACGTGAAGATCCGGTAAAAGCACTAAATAACAAAAACATTTAGCTCATTGTAAAATAGGAATAAAAACATATGCCTATGCTTACAGTAACCTAATTTTAAATAAGTCAAACATTTCACGAATCTGAGCGATCCAGTCAGGCAATTTAGACGATCAATTCAATTGCATATTTTATCTGCGACTGTGTCATGTTATTAAACACGACTCGCAAGCGTCAAGCCGCATACTTAAAATATCATTTGATGCAAAATATGGAAATCAGCAAAAGAATACAAATGTCAATGGATAAAAAAGACTTTAAAGCATCTGTAAGTAAGATTTGATTTGCTTCACAGCTCTGACAGCTCAACTGCTAAAGTAAAGCGAATTAGCAAATTGGATAGTACATCTTAATATTCTAGAATGATTTATATAGTTCGTATATATACAGCATGAATCTAGCTGTGATCGATTGTATGCTTTTAGCGTTTCATAAATATACCAGTTAGAATTGTAAACAACTGTAAACGTAACATATGAACGAAAGATGAAAATATCTTACCTTGAATAGTCAAAATAGAACAGAAGCTTTGAAATTTAACAAAAATTTGAAGATCCTGTATATGAGCGAATTTAAAATGTGTGTTCTACGCATAAAAAACGCGCACGACCACAATTCCTTGCGCTAAATAAAATTTAGTTCAGAACCTCCTCTCTGCACAAATTAGACTGCTGCTACGCTCGCTCGCTTCAGGCTCGCTCGCTCCGCAGCAATCATTAAAATAATTTTACACTTCTATATTTTGTTTAACACCGAAAAGCTTTGAGCGGCTTCTGTGGCAGGGTTAAAATGGCAGGGTTAAACTTTTCATTTGAGCCGAATAGGACAAACATCTTTGAACCAGATGCGTACAATTACAGTGTTATTTATATGGAAATACATTATTCCATTGTTCGAGAAGTACAATTTTCTATTTCACATAAGCATAAAAAATACCTTTCTCATTAGATCGCCGAATTACAAATGGATTACGTATTCCACGATTAACAAATGTTGTGAAGCCAAGGGGAAGTGAAAGGACCGTACATTGGGACAGTTTACGAGACACGAAGGAGATTAAGGAATATGGAATATTATGGAGAAAGAGAGAGGGACCTGATTCTTCAAAAAATAATTACCAGCACAATCACACCACAAAAGAATATTATAAATTCAACGGTATTCCAACACTAAATTCACAGTACGAAGTGCTGTTAACGGCGATAGGACAGGATGGGATTCCGCAACCCTTTACCACAGTCGAATTGCCGCTAACCAACGGTAAGTCAAACTTCTCATCTCGATGATATTGGCCCGATTTATGGCTTTTTTGCAATCAGGAAAGTGATTATCCGGACTGGAATGAATCTTATTGTTTCTTTTCTGCTACGGACTGGACAGATAATCCGTCTCGAACGAATTTGGGCAAATAAATATTCGTGTATGTAAACACGCGGATCATCCGCATATATCGGAAATATCCGCAAAGTTCGTCTAGATCTATTTAGAAAATTTTACGGGAATATTTCGTCTTGCCGTTAGTTTGAATATGGAGTGGGGTACGTACTACGGAAAATTTATGGTCTAGAAGCTTAATTTCGGGGAGCGCAAATATTCATATATTCACCGTATGCCTGACTCATTTCTTTTGACAGTGACTGTTTATTTTAACATGAATATTTGCGCATTCGAAGCGTGTATGCAAAACCTGAGTTTTGTAAAAATTCTAGATAGCAAGTTTGTTGTTGCGAATTAACACCAATATTGTCGACTAAAGATCAATAATACTTTTGATTCTATTGTACAGTACGTTAGGGCTGAGAAACTGTTCACAGATTAACTGTGAAAGCTTTTGCCATAGCAATGACGTTTCAACATGGCCGCCAACTATAATTTAATTGTAATTATTTCGTGAATCCTTCGGTCAATTTTTTTAAGACTGGAACGCTCACTCTGTCGGAAGTTTGAAGCAAAGATGGCGGACACTATATATATAGCCTTTCTTGTAGGTATGACCCAGATCTCCACGCGGAAATTTCCTATGTAAAATTGCGGCAATTATGATTTCACCTTTGAAATCTTCCCCAGAGCCCTGGATCATACCTAAAAAAAAGGCTTCATTGTCCGCCATCTTGGTTTCACTCATTAATGACGGAAAGTCAGATAGTGACCGTTCCAGTCTTATTTGAGCTTACTGATTGAAACTTCATTGTTGCCTTGCCAACGGCTTATAATTGGCTTCAATACGTTAAAGCTAATTTTAATCTATAATTTACAACATGGATGATTAATTCTACATCATCAAACCTGCATTCAACAATTTTCTCAAAACTCTAGGGAGCCACCTTAAGGAATCGAACGGTCCCAGCTAAGCAGTATCATTGACACAAAGAAAACTAATTGCAATTGAAATCTGCCTAAGTAATGAGCGTTTTATACGAAAATGCAATAGACCTAGTTTAGTTATAATGATACTCATTGTTTTTTCTAAAGATTATTGTCCGAGTGAAGAAGTTGGTTCACTGGAAGCATATGGAATTTTCCAGTGGCCAGAAACAGCAATCGGAATTCGTGCCACAATTGCTTGCCCTTATAACAATGACTCTATCGCGAGCCGTGATTGCCTTTCTACAAACCAAACAGAAAGTGGGGGTGTTTGGGGGCCGTCTTTAGTTACGGATTGCAAGTATATGGAGCAGCGAAGTGGAAATCTTTTCCTATTATCTCAGGTAACTAAATACCTTCAAATCCCACTTCAATTTCTTTCTGATTAAACTTTCCATCTTACAAGATTTTTATTGTTTTCAGAGAGAAGTTAATAGTAGCAACGTTGTGAACATCACTAAAGAGGTTAAAGAATGGTCTTCTACTAATCAAAACAACACTCTTAACCCTGGTGATATTGACTATATCGCTACAATATTAAACAGCATTGCGCTGGTGAAAGAAAAAGCAAACGAGGTTTGTGAATCATCCAATAGTAATTTTCTTTTGGATAGAAGATAGGAAGTTGATCTTAAAGAAATAAAAATTTGGACAAAGGTGGTTGAAAATAAGACTGTGAGATACGTACAATTTCGATTCTTTGTGATTTGGCATACTAATTTTTAAGATACTTTAAGACTAATTTTTAAGACTTACAAAAGTTTTGCACAAGAATCGTATGAAATATCATATCGATTTTCTAGGTAGATTATCATGTCATATTTCTAACCATGTTTCTGATTGATAGCACCAGAATACACATTCACATTCACATTGATTGGATGAGTAATCATGCTTTTTAAATGCACGATTCTTTGTGAAATTATCTTTTGCTTCATGTTTAAACGTAGGTTCTCGACGACTTCCTCACAATCATAGACAATGTGCTGGATGCCCAACTTAAAAATATCGTAGAAAGTCAACAGAATCGAAACTCTTCATCGAGGTAATAATTCGAGACCTTTTAAATTGATAAAGCAGGGATATGTCATATGTGTGACGTGGGTCAAAACATTGCCTGAAATTAGTTACATAATGGCTGTCGCTTTTGTATTAATTTGCATTTCACCAATTCATATTTGCAATGTTTTTCACCAGCTCATATTTGCAATATATAAACTTGGAATCATCACAATCACGGATTTTGACAATGTTTCTGGACGTCAGATGAATAGAAAGCTTTTTGAAACATTTTTTAACATACTTTTTGCCTAGAACGATTATGCAGTCCACTGAATTTAAGAATATATATTGCTCTAAATATTGGTCTAAGTATTGCCCGTCTTTTCTCAACGAAATTTTTGTACGAATACGAATATTTTTTATTTGGATAGAGATAGTTTGAAATGGAAGATTCTCATAAAAAGACAATGATCAAATACCTAGGCAACGGCAATGTTTCTACCCTATATTTTATAGTATATAGACGTTTAAGGTCTAATAATGAGCTTTCTTCCTTCTTAACTTTGCAGGATTGTTGAAACTTTAAATACGTTTGCAGAATCATTGGTTATTGGCCCGGAAAGCGAACTTCAGGCGGTGAAAAAAAACTTTGATATTAGCTTACAAACAGTGAAGCCACAGAACTTTAGCGGACTTAATTTTTCTGGCATTATCAGCAAAACAAATCAATCACAAACAAGAAATAACACTTCAAAAATACAGAGTAATGAAGTAACACAAGTCTTGTCGCCTTCACTTATAATTCCGCGAACAATATTCAACGAATCAACTGAAAAAAACAGATCCGCAAACCAGACCGTCATTTTTGTGCTCTATAGAGAAACAAAATTCTTTATATTATCATTGGCGGACACTACTAGGAGATCAAGTCGCTTGAATAGTCTTGTAATTTCCGGAAGTATTGAAGGGTTGTCAGTTTCAAATTTAAGTGTTCCAGTAAACATTGCACTACCAAGTATTGAAAGAGGCGAAACAAAAAGCATTCTGTGCTCTTACTGGGACTTCAGCATAGGAAATTGGTCGCAAGATGGTTGCAAGTTTGAACGCGTTCTTGAAGATGGAAGGGTGCTTTGTAGTTGCGACCATTTTACCAACTTTGCAATGTTGATGGTAAGATTCTTATAACCAATACTGTGTATACGTAGATATGTACTTTCCTAATGGTCTAGGTCATTGAAAATCACGATTTATCCTGTTTTAAAAAATTACAGGGATGCAAACTTAAATGTTCCGATCCGTAATCGATTCTGAATGTTTTTTTTCCTCAAAAAATTAGTCGATTGGCTTATTCTATTGTCTCATTGCTCTATTGTATTGTTCTCTATAATTAATAATTAATGATATATAATTATATGCAAAACTTTTTTCGTCGCTTTTCTTAGCAAACTAAAATTCTCAATCCTCTTCATTTCGCGCAGGATAACTCTAGACAATTGGCTCGGAGGTGAACTAAAAGTGGTGTATTCAGTTCGATCGTAGAAGTTTTATATTTATAGCCTGTATAACGTTTAGTACTGGAAAAGTTTTATTTATTTCAGGTTCAGCTCCGAGGCAAAAATATTTAAACTGGATAAAACTAATTCTGTCGTTCAAGAGTTAAAACCTATTTTGTTATCGTGTTCACAAAAATCGTCTACTTTCGACCAATGCCATTCGGGGTGTTTGGTTTGGGTATACTAAAGTGATTGAAGATTCCTACAAGTCTTTTATCACTCAGAGCAATTTGGCTTGTAATTATAACATGTCATGAAAAGATTTTCATATTTTTCAAAATAAAAGAAAAATACTTTAATTAATGACCTAGATCACCTTTTAAAAGTATTTCATATTTTCCAGTACCATTCGTGATTGTGCATGCATGGCTTAAACTTTTGTCAACTTCTACAACTTGTAATAATTCGAGGATCCAGTCTTACGTAAACATATTGGTATAGAAAAAAGGTTTTGAATTTTTTATTCTTAGGACATAGCTCCAGGAGAGAAGACTGCACATGACAAAATACTTGGTGTAATAAGTTACATCGGCTGTGCGCTCTCATTGGCTGGGCTCATCTTGACAATATTTACGATACTAATTTTGAGGTGAATATCGAATTTTATCGAAGCATATTTTAAACTGTTCAGTTTATGAGTTGAAGAAAACCGAGGCAATATTACAAAAACGGTGTCTAATGCAGGTTTTCCACAAGCGATATTAAGGACCTTAAGATACACCATGCAAATGTATACGACGCGGACGTGAAATGATATAACTAATGATATTACTCTCACAAGGCACGTGCAAAAATGGAAAACATCCTTCTTCAAAACATGCATGAAAAAATATTTTCATTTTGACAAATAAGTTTGAAAATAAGCCATAACACAATAATAAGCCTTGCGGTCTTGGCTCAAAATAAAAAAATATTTTTAAAGCATGTGTTTCATGAAGAAGGATGTTTTACATCTTTGCACGTGGCTCGTGAGAGTAAAACTTGAAATACATTTCATTTTTAAATTAAAATACTCTGACATTAAAATGTTGAGACATAATTACCAAAACGGTCTATTATCTGGAACAATTTACAAAAAGACAAACGAATTATTTCTCTTCGCGGCTTGAAAACTGATCGCTGCTAGAGAAACCAATTATGTTTCTTAATAGCATAGTTCTCAGGGTGTCTTTTATATCTTTTCCGCGAGTCGAATTACCAACTCATATGTAAGGGCCTGAAGGCTGCATTGTCAACGCGCTTTTACTTTACTTATTCTCAATGCGATTTTGCAATTTTGCAAGTTCAACAACTATAATTTTCAGAAAAAGTAGAAAACATTTAGGACTTCATACTCTCGGCGAGGTTTTGAAACTTAAAGTTTGACAATTAATTCAAAAATCTTCGCTGGTTTCCTATGCGTATTTTCTGTCTATATAGCATTTACTTTAATCGCTTTATATTCTTTGCCTTTTCCTGTTTAGGGATCTTCGAACACAAATTCCAAGCCAGATTTTGCTGAACTTTTGTATTGCGTTGTCGGTGACGTTAATTGTGTTCATCGCTGCCGTTGAGAAGACCAGGACATCATCACTGGCCGGCTGTCGGGCAGCGGCGATCGCCCTTCATTACTTCTTGTTAGCAGCATTATTTTGGATGGCAGTAGAAGCGTATAATATGTACTGGGCATTTGTTAAAGTCTTTTCTGCTCCGTCCCGAGCTAAACTTTTAATCAAATGCTGTGTGTTTGCATGGGGTAAGATTTAAAATTTTATATACACCTAAAAGGGAATAATAAAATGTGAACTTTCAGAAATTGCGTTTAGAGCAAGTTCGATGATATTAATTTTAGCTTTTTTTGAAAACGGAAAAAAGTTAGCAGAAATGATATCTATTAAAATATTATTTTTATATCATCACTCTTTTCTTATAAAAAAGTCATTATATATTTTGTAATATTTATTATTAATTTGATAACTGTTCATTTTACATAGGTACTCCTGCCGTAGTCGTGGGTATAACAATGGTAGTTGCACTGGATAAATATGGCGACGGAACCTAGTAAGAGACGTGATTTTTAAGTCATATTCCAATGTAAATAACAACTTTAAACAAAATAGGCGAAACTTTGCCTCATTTGGGAAGCTTTGAGTGCACTGATTAAGATATGTTCTATTTTAACGTCAGGAATGTCTGCCGCCGAAATTTTTCAGACAAAAAAGAGGATATACTCAACAATCAAACCAACTAATTGCTCTAAAACTGATAAAATGGTTGGGGATCGTCTCAA